TCTCATCTCACATCTCACCACTCCACGCAGTGATCCAGCCCCTGGGGCCGACACCATTCCTAAAGCCATCACATGCTTCTTGCCTCTTACCCCTCCCCCGGCCCCTCCCCCCTCCGCAGATGCTCTTCCTTCTGCATACATCTCACCACTCCACGCAGTGATCCAGCCCCTGGGGCCGACACCATTCCTAAAGCCATCACGTGCTTCTTGCCTCTTACCCCTCCCCCGCCCCTCCCCACCCCGCCACTGCCCCTCTTTAACCGGCCTTCCCTGTCTCACATCTCACCACTCCACGCAGTGATCCAGCCCCTGGGGCCGACACCATTCCTAAAGCCATCACATGCTTCTTGCCTCTTACCCCTCCCCCGGCCCCTCCCACCTCTGCAGATGCTCTTCTTTCTGCTTGGCATACATCTCATACTCATTCTTGAAGATCCAGTTGGAGTCACCTCCTCTGGGAAGCACTCCAGGAATCATGTAACCATTTTTTCAGTGTTTCCAGGACCTTGTTCTGTTAATTCTGCTACAACTCTTACCCAATGCATTATTATTGGCTACTTCTGCCCACTGCCTCCTTGAGTTACTGGAAGGCAGGAATGACAAGATCTGTGTAACTTGGGTGAGTCACTACTCTCTGAGCCTCAGTTTCCCCTGTGAACGGGGGCTGGCAGTATCTAACTCAGATGAAATAATACAGATAAGGCACTCAGGACATAATGGCCATCTCTGGCTCTGTCACAGTGGAGGGAATGAATGAATGCTCACCGGGAGGGTGAAAAAATAAAGCTAATGAGTACTTATTGATCACATTCAATAATGTGTCAAGAAGGCACTGAGATTAGAGCTTAACATTTATGATCTCTTTTAAGCCTCTTAACAATCCCTTAAGGGAGGTGCTGTCATCAGCCCTGCTTTATAGGTGAGGAAACCGAGGCTTTAGGAGTTGAGGACCGTGATGAAGGATGCCCAGGTGCCAGGAGGTGGCATTAACAGCAGATCAGTGTGGAATGAATGAATCACTTGGGAGTAGGGTGGAAAGACAAATAGCCTGTATCTTATAATCAAATTGTTTTAGAGCTGTAGGCTTAGAGAAGACTTAGCCCCTTTGGTTCTTAACCTGGGGGGGTCCATGAATGGGGAGACTGATGGGTTCCAGGACCAGATAGATAAGGCCCCCATTGTACTCAGTGGCTTCTGATCCCTTCATCTTCCACCAACCCTCCCACCTCATCCAAGTCCTAGAGCCACCCAGCTTGTCCGCTCTCGGCACCCCTGGCAGGTGCCCTATCCCAGTGTTGCCTGCGGCTCCGGAAGTCTCTGCAGTCCCTGGAACATCCCTATTCCCCCGCCAGGGCAGAGCATGACAGGCATTTGGGACCTGTTCCTCCTCCCTTGGGGATGTTGGGAAAAGGGGGAGGGCCACTGGGGTGAGGGAGTGAGCTCAGACCTGGGAGGCAGACATGCTGGGCTTCTAATAACGACAACGATAGTAATAGTATCAAAGGCTAACATTTATTGAACACCTACTATGTGCCAGGCACTGTCCTAACCCCTTGACTTCTGAACCCGTTTATCTTCACAACTCTTCCAGGTAGGTTCTGTTACTAGCCTCAGTTGACAGTTGAGAAACTGTGGTCCAGAGAAGCGGGGCCACTTGCCGAGGCCAGGCAGCTGGCAAGTCCCAAGGGCCCCACTGTTCCCGGACCGGGTGTCTTTGGACAGCTCACTGCCACTGTGCTGGGTGGCTTTCTCCGGCTGTTCCCCGCGGGGTCCCACCTCACGGTTTCTGTGACGACTAAGGTAGACTCTCCAGTATCCCAGCACACAGTAGGCGCTTAGTAAATGAACAGCCCTTCTTTCCTTTTAACTCTTATGGGGGAAACCTGTGGGGGGCACCTGGCAGCGTCCTCCCCCCAGGGTTTTCCCCCAAGCCAGGAGTGAGTAACCCGCCCCTTCTCGCAGCAGTGACACCCCGATCTCCCTTCCTAACCCCAGATCCACGCAGTGCCTGGTCTCGCGGCAGTTTTAATAACGTTGATCATAATTCTCGCACCTCTGGGCCGAAAGCTGCACCCCGACGCCCCTTGCCCGGGCTTTGGGAATCGGCCCCCCACAAGCCCTCTCCCGTCCGGCCGCCCTGGGAGGGTTGGGGAAGAGGGTGAGGAAGGGAATTGGGGTCCTGGGCGGGGCACGCAGCCGCGGTCACGGTAGGTGGCAGGGGGCTAGGAGGCCGGGGCCTGGTCGTCCGCCCGGGGGCCGGCGGAGAG